ACCAAACTACACTACAATGCAGAAAGGGTGTAAGAGAATTATGCAATTCTCAATACGTCTCACTCGGGAGATACAATACCTATGCGGCTCGTCTGGTTGCACCAACCTCAAATGAACCGCACATACAATATCATTCCTGAAAAGAAAACAAACTTAACAGGTACAATATTGTTAGCAACATGCATGACAATGCAAAACGGATGCAAAACGGATGCCTTGGGGCCTGCTGTCAGCCCTGGGCCAATAATGCCTTGGGGCCTGCTGTCGGCGCCAGGCATTAGCCTCTGCTTGCAGAGGGAAGCCTCTTTCAAAGACTGCTATCACCTTGGCAGGATATTCCCTCTGCAACTTAGTTGCTGTGGTAGTCATTTCCCGCGGCAAGTTCAAACGGCATGACCGAAGATATTAGAGATGGCGGCACCGACAGAATGCCTCTACAACTTGGGCGCTACAAGTATTGCCTCAGCAACTTAGTTGCCTTGGTCTTCCCTTTCCCTCGGTAACTCCAGATGATCATGACACCGACATTACTTGAAATGGCGGCGGCACCGAAGATACTTAGAATGGCGGCGCTGAGACAAAGTGCCTCAGCAACTCTGCTGCTGCATATGTTCCCTTGGCAACTTCAAATTGCGGCGGAACCGAAGTTAATAGGAATGGCGACACTGAGGCAAAGTGCCTCAGCAACTTTGCTGCTACACATGTTCCCTCCGTAACTTCGCCGCTGTAGGTGTTGCCTCCACAACTTAACTTGGGCATTTCTCCTCGCTGAGTCCATTTGGAGCCCTGGTGGGTCGGACCTGCCTCGGCCCACTTGTTGGCCCACTTCCCTTGGGCTTTGGCCCATGCTCCTTTTTCGTTCCTGATCGCCTTATTAGGGTGACCTCCGCACTTAGACCCATTATTATCTTGGGGCTTAATTTCTGCCCCTATGCAGGCTCTTTTCGGCCATTTCTAGCTTTTCGATCAACCGTATTAGGGGCACGTCGGGAAAAGTTAGGTCAGGCGTAGGTGAAAGCACCCGAAGGAAGTTTGTGACCTTACTCTTCCTAGGTGCTGAATATCTGTAGGTCGGTATGTTGCCAAGAAGCTCGTGGCAATCTCGGTGTCGATATCTTAGTGCGGCTCTGATCGCCCGTTCGTCTCGATAAAGATAATTGGCTCGTAACGCTTCGACAGCTACAAAAGAAAAGTAGTAAGCTCAGTGTCACGAACCAAACCCACCCTTATCGGTTTAGCGTCGTAGCTGGCCAGTAGCCCTTGGATTACCGAAGGCCTCTTAACAAAATAACATGAAATTAGGGGCTGCAAAAGCAATAAACAAAATATACATAGTCTATTGAGCTGTGAAGACATACATGAGACTAATATTCTTAAACTTTAATAAAGATACGTGTGACGTCAAAAGATACAGTTGATACACGTCACTTCATGTACTGTACATATAAATAGGAATTTGTCCATAATCAACAAAAGAACCAAAAACATGGCCACGGGACTTGACATGATCCGGAACCTCCTCGGGAGGCGCAAAGGGTGGCTGCCAAACACAAAACTATTCAGGCATCATCTTAAGCCTGGTTGCGCGCCTGGTCATCTACATATAAAATATAAATAGTGAGCGCGAGCCTAGTGAATAATAACAAAGTAAAGGGTTATAATGTATGATGTCCGTCATAGAGTTAAAAATCAGAGTTTTATGTATATTCAGATTTCAAATCAGAAATAGATTCATATACATGATCATTTTCATTTTCAAAGTTCATACATTTCACGTCATAGTATGTGGCACATCTATTAGCATTACCAAATTTGATAACCCATAAAAGGGACAGCCGTGAAGGCATTTTGATGACCTATAAAAGGACAACCATAAGGCATTCTCATGACTCGTGTGCACAGAGGAGTTTCCAATGACCCATAAAGAGACAGACGTAAAGGCATTCAGATGACCCATAAAGGGACTTGATGACCCATAAAGGGATGCAAAATATCTTATGATGCTATGGATGCCACAAGTATATTTCAGAATGAAACTTAGACGATCATTCATTCACACAAAACATAACATTTTAGAAAACTATTCATGTCGTATCATAAGAAAATAATCAAGTCTAACATAACTTTACAGAGTTATTACTCACAAAAAACAAATGGCTCCAAACAGACGAATAGAGTAGGCAATTCAAATATCTTGCTGCATGTGACCTACATCGGTACAAAACGAATACATACTGAATTACACACCCAAAAACATTTACTTCTTTCTTTCTTATCTTGGTGTGTCTCTACTTTTATCCTCATTATTGTGCCTTAATCATGCCCTAGGAATGCCTAGGATGGATTGAGGATGCAAAAAATGTACTTGAAAACACTTAACAAAACTTGCTGAAAATAGGGTCCTCGTTCAAGCGCAACTTCCTACGCTCGAGCGGATATGCAAAATGTGAGTGGTCGCTTGAGCACAAAATCTAGCTCGAGTAGTCTGTAAACTTTTACAAAAGTGTTGGTTGCTTGATTTTTTCGCTCAATGCTCGCTCGACGCCCACTCAAGCGTGAGAGAGGGTTGCTCGGTAGCTCAGTGGAAGTGGCGATGATGAGATTCTTAATCCGGCTCTTTTTGGCCATTTTTTGCTCCTCGGTCAACCGTATTAGGGGCATGTTGGGCAAAGTTGGGTCAAATGGAGGTGAAGGCGCCCGAAGGAAGTCTGTGACCTTACTCTTCCGGGGTGTTGAATATTTGTAGGTCGGTATGTAGCCAAGAAGCTCGTGGCAATCTTGGTGTTGATATCTTAGCACGGCTTTAATCGACCCTTCATCTCGATAAAGATAATTGGCTTGTAATGCTCCGATAGGTGCAAAAGGAAAGTAGTTAGCTCAGTGTCACAACCTAAACCCGCCCCTATAGGTTTAGCATCGTAATCGACCAGTAACCCTTGGATTATCGAAGGCCTCCTAACAAAATAACATGAAATTAGGGCTGAGGCAGCAATAAATAGAAATATACATTGTCCATTGAGCTGTGAAAACATACATGAGACTGATATTCTTAAACTTTAATAAAGATACGTATGACGCTAAAAGATACAGTTGATACACGTCACTCCATGTACTATATATATAAACAAAAATTTGTCCATAATCAACAAAAGAACCAAAGTTTTAAATACAAAAACATGGCCACGGGACTTAACATGATCCGGAACCTCCTCAGGAGGCACAAAGGGTGGCTGACAAACACAAAACTCTTCAGGCATCATCTTAAGCCTGGTTGCGCACCTAGTCACCCACATATAAAATATTAATAGCAAGCGGGAGCCCAGTGAATAATAATAAAGTAAAGGGTTTTAATGAATGATGTCCTTCATAGAGTTAAAAATCAGAGTCTTATGTATATTCAGATTTCAAATCAGATATAGATTCATATACATGATCATTTTCATTTTCAAAGTTCATACATTTCACATCATAGTATGTGGCACGTCCATTAGCGTTAACAAATCCGATGACCCATAAGAGGGACAACCGTGAAGGCATTCTGATGACCTATAAATGGACAGCCATAAGGCATTCTGATGACTCGTGTGCACAGAGATGTTTCTGATAACTCATAAAGGGACTGGCGTAAAGGCATTCCGATAACCCATGAAGGGACCTGATGACCCATAAAGGGATGCAAAATATCTCATGACGCTATGGATGCCACGAGTATATTTCAGAAACTTTGATGATCATTTATTCACACAAAATATAGCATTTCAGAAAACTACTCATGTTGTATCATCAGAAAATAATCAAGTTTAACATAAATTTACAGAGTTATTACAGACAAATAACAGATGGCTCCAAATAGACAAATGGAGTAGGCAATTTAGATATCTTGCGACACGTGACCTACACAGGTACAAAACGAATACATATTAAATTACACACCCGTAAACATATACTTCGTTCTTTCTTATCTTGGGGTGTCTCTACTTTTATCCTCATTATTGTGCCTTAATCATGGCCTATGAATGCCTAGAATGGAATAAGGATGCAAAAATGTACTTAAAAACGCTTAACAAAACTTGTTGAAAGTAGGGTCCTCGCTCGAGCGTAACTTCCTACGCTCGAGCGGCCATGCAAAATGTGAGTGGTCACTCGAGCGCAAGATCTGTTGCTCGAGTGTTCTGTAAACTATTGCAAAAGTGTTGGTTACTTGATTTTTTCCCTCGCTGCTCGCTCGAGCATGAGAGACATGCCCTCGCTCAAGCATAACTTTCGTCGCTCGAGCGGCTTGAAAAATGAAAGAACTTCTGCGAGCATGCATTTCATGCTCGAGCGGACTTCTGGTCGCTCAAGCGAAAGTACACGAACTCAGAGTGGTAGCTCAAGCGTAGGAGTAGAATTCTGGAATTTCTAGATATGCTCCCAAGCTCAAAATTCAATTTCAAAATCTTTAAAACACATTCTTTTGGACCAAAACTCAATAAAACATTGAGAAACTCATAGTACATGATGAATTACAAATTATTTTACAAAATCAAGCCCAAAAGCTATGCCAATTGTAGTAAACAAAACTTGAAACTTAGATAACATAAATTGCATGTAATGTCATGAATTCCAACCTTCCAAAACATGATCAAATGAGTCATTAAGCTCAAAAAAAGTTGAATTTTTTGAACAAAACTAAGATATGAACATGCATGTGAGAATTTTTGTAAAGACAACCTCAAAATCTCATGATATGCACATGCATGTTTGATTTGAGCTACAATTCTTTAATCCTAGCTCATTCTGATATTAGTCCACCTTCTTTACTTGAATTCTTACAAAAACTAACTCAATTACACAACTAAGGGTTAGGTTTCTTACCTTAGATGCTCAACTATGGTCTCTCTAGAGTTATTTGGTTGAAATTCCTAGCCAAATCTCCAAATTCTCAATCAACTCCTATGTTGAAGTCACTCTTCGCTTAGTCTCTCTCTCTCTCTCTACACGTTTGGACTCAATCAAGAGGAAATAAGAGTGCAAAAAGTGTATATGAGATGTTGACGTGGCCTTATATAGGCTTGGCTAATGGCCTAATTTCTTTGTTGATTAATTAATCAATTGGGCATTAATTTATTCTAATTTAATCATTCTGAATCAAATTTCAATTAAACCTACCACAAAATTCTATAAATCTTAAATGACACATAAATCAAGTCAATTTCTGAATCAGATGCTGATAAGGCTTTCAATTCGCAAACCAAAGCGGAAACATGAACAGATCTTTCTACGAGAGACAGATAAAAGTACAAATAATGCATCACACATGCAATTATTTCAGGATTTGATCTTAATAACTTATTAGACATTAAATTATGGATTAACGTTAATCACGGGTCGGGGTTGTTATAGTCTTCCCCCATTAAAAAGTTTGGTCATCCAGACTCGAATTACCTTTATTTTGGAAGAATACCAGATCCAAAGGAAACAATTCATGGTATCTTTTCATCATATCTTTCTTTGTCTCCCAAGTTGCATAGGTTCCTTCATGATTCTACCAATCGACTTTTACCAATGGAATTGCCTTGTTTCTTAATCTCTTGATTCGGCGGTAAACGATCCGTATTGGTTTCTTCATACATATAGTCATATTTCAGGAGCACATGAGTTGGTTCCATCACATGGAGTGCATCTCGTAAGTAATCTCGAAGCATTGAAATATGAAAAATGTTGTGCATGTTTTCCATCACCGGAGGTAAGGTTACTTGGTATATTACTGAACTGATCTTCTCAAGAATTTCATATGCCCTAATGTATCTCGGTGCCAACTTGCCTTTCACCCCAAACCGCTTTTGCCCTTTCATAGGAGTTACTTTTATGAACACATGATCCCCAACTCCATATTCTCTGTCTCTCCTGCGAATATCTACATAACTCTTCTGGCAGCTTTGTACGGTTTTCAATCTTTTTCGAATCAATTTCATGTTTTCAATGGTTTCTTGCACAAGTTTAGGGCCAACGATGGTCTGTCACTTACCTTAGCCCAACAGATAGGAGAACGACATTTCCTTCCATACAGAGCTTCAGGAGGAGCCATCCCAATACTTGAATGATAGTTGTTATTGTATACAAACTTGGCTAAAGGAAGATAAGTCTCCCAACTCCCTTGGAAGTCTAACACACACATCCGCAGCATATCTTCCAAAGTTTGACTGGTTCTTTCGGATTGACCGTCTGTCTGTGGATGGTAGGCACTACTCAATCGCAATTCGGTTCCTAAAGCTTGTTGCAAACTCTGCCAGAATTTTGATGTAAACTTCAAATCTTTGTCAGATATAATAGATACTGGTACACCATGTAATCTCACAATTTCTTTCACATACATGCTAGATAACTTGTCCACATTATAAATAGTTTTAACAAGCAGAAAAATGACAGATTTAGTTAAACGATCAACTATAACCCAGATAGAAACCATACCTCGAGAAGAGCGAGGCAGACTGACGATAAAGTCCATCGTGATGTGCTCCCATTTCCATTTCGGTATTGGGAGCGGCTGAAGTAATCTGACGGGTCATTGATATTCAGCTTTAACTTGTTGGCAATGCAAGCATCTAGCCACAAAGTCTGCAATACACTTCTTCATTCCCGACCACTAGAAGTTTTGTTTCAAGTCATGATACATCTTTGTGTTTCCCGGATGCATAGCAAATTTAGAATTATGGGCTTTAGTCAGAACACGTTTCCTAAAATCATCATAGTCCGGTACACAAAGGTGACCTGAAATTTCAACACATTATTCTCAAGTACAAACCTGGGCCTTGGTTTTGAGTCAATTTCATCCACGATCTTTTTCCAAAATTCATCTTGCAGTTGTTTCTCTCTTACTTCTTCAATGATTTCAGGTTGGGCAGAGATAGTGGCTAAAATTCCACTTTGTTCTCGTAATACAAACTCAATCTCATTATTTTCCAAGTCACATAGTAATTATTTCCAACCGGTGAACAAACATGACAAATTTCCCATTGACTTTCGGCTCAAGACATCCGCCACCGTATTAGCTTTTCCCAGGTGATACATAATCTACAAATCATAGTCTTTAATTAACTCTAACTATCTTCTCTGTCTCATGTTCAATTTTTTCTAGGTAAAGAAATATTTGAGCCTTTAATGGTCTGTGTACACTTCACAAGTCGTAACATACAGATAATGTCGCCAAATTTTCAAAGCAAATACCACAGCTGCTAGTTTAAGATCATGAGTTAGGTAATTTTTTTCATGTGGTCGGAGTTGCCGAGAAGCATAGGCAATTACCTTTCTATTTTGCATTAATATACATCCCAAACCTTTGTAGGAGGCATCACTGTAAATCTGAAACCTATCAGTACCATTAGGTACAGTCAAAATTGGCGCAGTTACTAACCTGGTCTTTAACTCTTGGAAAGCAGTTTCTCTTTGATTAGTCCAATCAGCTGATATAGCTTTCTGTCTCAATTGAGTGAGCGGTAGAGCAAGTTTGGAAAAATCTTTTACAAATCTGCGATAATAGCCTGCAAGTCCTAGAAAACTTCGAACTTTTGTTACATTTGTGGGTCTGGGCCAGTCCACAATAGTTTCAATTTTCTGTGGGTCAACGGAGATACCGTCCTTGTTGATTACATGTCCCAAGAATGCCACATTGTCAAGCCAAAACTCACATTTGGAGAATTTTGCATATAATTTCTTTTCTCTTAGGGTTTGTAAAGTAATTCTTAGATAATTCTCATGTTCTTCCCTACTTTTAGAATAAATCAAAATATCATCGATAAATACAACAATAAACTTATTAAGAAATTGTTTGAACACTCTATTCATTAAGTCCATGAATGCCGCAGGTGCATTAGTTACCCCAAATGGCATGATTAGGAATTCATAATGCCCATATCTAGTTCTGAATGCAGTTTTCTCTACATCTTCTGCCTTGACCTTTAACTAGTGATACCCGGATCTAAGGTCAATTTTAAAAAACACTTGGACTCGTTGAAGTTGATCAAACAGGACATCTATTCGGGGTAATGGGTATTTGTTCTTGACAGTTACTTTATTCAACTCACGGTAATCAATATATAGCCTTAAGGACCCGTCTTTCTTTTTGATAAATAACACTGGAGCACCCCAAGGTAAAGTGCTCAGACGAATAAACTTCTTGTTTAGCAGTTCTTGGAGTTGAGTTTTTAATTCTTTCAGTTCAAAAGTGGACATTCTATAAGAAGTCTTGGAGATAGGTTATGTTCCAGGTACTACATCAATAGTAAACTTAATTTCCCTATCAATTAAGTCCCCGGGTAGGCCAATAGGAAATACATCAGGAAATTCATGGACTATGGGTATTGTTTCCACTTTAGTACCATCCGAAGATTCTGTCAACACACAACACAAGTAGCCCTGACAATCCTTTCTTAATAATTTTCTGGCTTTCAAAATGAAATCAAGTATTGTGGAGGAACTATCCCATTTCTAGTAAAAACAAATTTAGGCATATCAAGTGGTCTAAACACAACAGATTTACTTGCACAGTCAATGGTGGCACAATATTTAGTCAACCAATCCATACCCAGAATATAATCAAAATGATCAATGCTCAGGGGTAGCAAATCAACAAACAATGTCATTTCACCAATTACAATATCACATGCTGGATAAACATAAGCACATATCATAGAAACCCCAGTTGGTGTAGACACAGATAGTAAACAGTTCATAGGTTCTAACAGTCTAGTTAATTTCTGAGAAAAAGCATGCGATACAAATGAATGCGTGGAACCTGAATCAATCGGCACATAAGCATTCTGAGCACAGATAGAAATTATACTTGACACCACGGATTCGGTGTTCTGTACATCACCAGGCACAAGAGCAAATACTCGACCCTGTCTTAAGGTTTCCTTCTCGGTGTTAGCTTTTGTGTTTATTCTTGATGCCGAAGTGGATCTAGCTGAACTTGTTGCAGGGTGATTGGTATTTTCGAGCCTGATAGGACAATCTCTCATCACATGGCCAATTTTACCACACATGAAATAGGCACTTGATGCTCGATAACAAACACCCTTGTGTTTCCTACCACATTCTAAGCAAGTTGGTACAGATCCACTACTTTGGCTTGAGCTACTGTAAGATCCCGTATTTTGCTTATTTGAGAATGACCGACCTCTTTTGAAATTAGACCCGAATCTTTTGCCCCTCCATTCACTTGTTGGGACAAGAGCTTGTTTCTTTGCTGCCAAGATGGTTTCCGCCATCAATGCTCTATCTAATACATTCACATACGTAGGTAGGCTGAGGACTCCTACCCGATCTAGTATATCCAAATCCAATCCACCCTCAAATTTGCGGGCTTTCTTATAGTCTGTGTTCACCATGTGAGGAGCAAATCTGGCTAACTCAGTAAACTTAGCCTCGTAATCAGATACAGACATTCTGCCTTGCTTGAGTTCTTGAAATTCTGAAACCTTTCGGTCCCGAAAGCATTGCAAAAAGTACTTGTCATAGAAAATTGTATTAAATTGAGCCCATGTCGTGTTCTCATTACTACTTCGAACTAGCAACCACCATGTACGGGCTTCATCCTTTAAGGTATAGGTGGCCAAAAGAACCTTTTGAGTCTTAGAGCAAGGAAAGACCTCAAACAATTTTTCCATCTCAAGTAACCATGTTTCTGCCTTCAACGGCTCAATGCCACCTAGGAAAGTGTGTGGCTTCATTTTCATAAACTTTTGAGTTGAGTTGATAATGTCATTATTGTCCGGTTCAACTTGTACCGGTGAAGGAGGATGAGGTAAAGGTTGTTGCCTCTGTTGTTACGTTATTGCCTCGGTCAGAGCAACAAGCATCTGTTCCATTTTGTTCATTTGGCCTTCGGATGATTCAACAGTTCTATCACTTCTTGTATTTTCCATTTGCGATAGGTAAACGGAACATTATGAACATAGGCAAATAGTCCTTTTACAATATTCAGATCATTTGTTTCCATATCTTGTGGTTATAATCAGATTTAGTTTTCACTTTCAATGAACACACACTTATAAATGCAAATGGAATGCCCCTACTTCTTACTAGGACATCCTAAGCTCATATAGGCTCGTGTGTGCAGCAGAACACGTGCTTTGATACCACTTTGTCACAACCCAAACCCGCCCTTATAGGTTTAGCGTCGTAATTAGCCAATAACCCTTGGAGTACCAAAGGCCTCTTAACAAAATAACATGAAATTAGGGGCTGCGGAAGCAATAAACAGAAATATACATAGTCCATTGAGCTGTAAAGACATACATGAGATAGATATTCTTAAACTTTAATAAAGATACGTGTGACGTCAAAAGATACAGTTGATACACGTCACTCCATGTACTGTACATATAAATAGAAATTTGTCCATAATCAACAAAAGAACCAAAGTCTTAAATATAGAAACATGGCACGGGACTTGACATGATTCGAAACCTCCTCGGAAGGCGCAAAGGGTGGCTGACAAACACAAAACTCTTCAGGCATCATCTTAAGCCTAGTCGCGCGCCTGGTCACCAACATATAAAATATAAATAGTGGGCGGGAGCCTAGTGAATAATAGCAAAGTAAAAGGTTTTAATGAATGATGTCTGTTATAAAGTTAAAAATCAGAGTCTTATGTATTTTCAGATTTCAAATCAGAAATAGATTCGTATATATGATCATTTTCATTTTCAAAATTCATACATTTCACATCATAGTACGTGGCACATCCATTAGCGTTAACAAATCCGATGACCCATAAAAGGGATAGCCGTGAAGGCATTCTGATGACCCATAAAGAGACAGCCATAAGGTATTCCGATGACTCGTGTGCACAAAGACGTTTCCGATGACCCATAAAAAGATGGCCATAAAGGCATTCCGATGACCCATAAAGGGACCTGATGACCCATAAAGGGACGCAAAATATCTCATGATGCTATGGATGCCACGAGTATATTTCAAAAACTTGGACGATCATTCATTCACACAAAACATAGCATTTCAGAAAACTACTCATGTCATATCATCAGAAAATAATCAAGTCTAACATAACTTTACAGAGTAGAGTAGGCAATTCAGATATCTTGCGGCGCATGACTTATACAGATATAAAACGAATACATACTGAATTACACACCCGGAAACATTTACTTCGTTCTTTCTTATCTTGGTGTGTCTATACTTTTATCCTCATTATTATGCCTTAATCATGGCCTAGAAGTGCCTAGAATGGAATAAGAATGCAAAAATGTACTTCAAAACAATTAAAAAAACTTGCTGAAAATAGGGTCCTCGCTCGAGCACAACTTCTTACGCTCGAGCGGACATGCAAAATGTGAGTGGTCACTCAAGCACAAGATTTGTCGCTCGAGCGGTCGGTAAGCTTTTGCAAAAGTGTTGGTTGCTTATTTTTTCGCTCGATGCTCGCTCAAAGAGACATGCCCTCGCTCGAGCGTAACTTTTGTCGCTCGAGCGGCCTGCAAAACAAAAGAACTTTTGGGAGCATGTATTTCATGCTCGAGCGGACTTTTGGTCGCTCGATCGGAAGTACACGAACTCAGAGTGGTCGCTCAAGCGTAGGAGCAGAATTTTGGAATTCCCGAATATGCTCTCAAGCTCAAAACTCAATTTCAAAATCTTCAAAACACATTCTTTTAGACCAAAACTTAGTAAAACATTGAGAAATTCATAGTACATGATGAATTAATAACTATTTTGCAAAATCAAGCCCAAAAGCTATGCCAATTATAGTAAACAAAACTTGAAACTTAGATAACATAACTTGCATGTTATGTCATGAATTCTAACCTTCCAAAACATGATCAAATGAGTCATTAAGCCTCCGTTTGGGAAGTGGGTTGACTTTTTGGTTTTTTTGGCTATTTTAGCCTGGAGCTAAAAAGCCTGATTTGGAAAGTGCTTTTTGGTTTTTTTGGTTTTTTGGCTTTTTGGTGAGGTGTCTTCCTGTTAAATTACCAAACTGCCCTTACATCCATGTTTACCTGTGAGGCAATGAAAGTGGTCCTCTACGTCAGCCTCTGTTTAGACTGAAATTGTTTTATTATTATTATTATTATTTTTTTATTTTGGGTTTGGATTTGGCGTATTTTTGCTTTAAATTTTTTTTTTAAATTTATGTTTTTGTCATTTTTGTTTTTTTATACATTAATTAGTTCTTGTTCTTTAATTTATGTTTTTTGCCTTATTTATTTTTATTGGTATACAATAACATTTTTTTTTTATTTTTCAAAAATGAGTTTTCATGTGTTTCATTTATTTGTAAATTACTTGGCGAATAGTAATTTATGTTTTTATGTTTTTTTTTTAAATGTTTTTGAATGAGGCATACTTTTGTCGTTATTTTTTTTTTTAATTTACATTTTTGTCATTTTTTTATTTGTACACATTAATTTGTTTTTATATTTCAAAAATGGGTTTTCATGTGTTTTATTTATTTGTAACTTACGTGGCAAATGCTAATTTCTGTTTTTTTTTTGTTTTTTTTTCCCTTTTTTTTTACTCGTATTTTTGTTGTTCTTTTTTTTTAATTTACGTTTCTGTAATTTTTTTTATTTGTATACATTAATTTGTTTTTTTATTTGACAAATGGGTTTTCATATGTTTTATTTATTTGTAAATTACGTGGCAAATGCTAATTTCTATTTTTATGTTTTAATTTTTTTTTTTGGTTTGGATGAGCCGTATTTCAGTCGTTCTTTTTTATTTTATTTTTTAATGTCAACAATTATCTTTTATATTTTTTACACATTCTTTTAAAAATTAAAAAAAAAAACTAAAAAATTAACTTTTAACCATCTTTCAAAAATAATCCTATTATATCACGCAGTCCAATTCGATCAATTCGGTTCGGCACTATGTATAAAATTTGTTCATTTCTCTAAAAATCGTACAAAAACATGAATTGAACTCAATTGAGTCGATTCTCCGACTTAGGGTTCCGAAATAAAAAATGTTGACATCGAGCTCTCCCACCAGATCTTCTCCCCGATAACACCTTGGATTCATCGCCGTTGCTGAACTTCGCAGCCGCGAACAACGATCGAGGCCGTCGCTATCTCCAGCGACAGAGCTTGAGTGAGGCGGCGCGGTTCCTCTAGCGAGCCAGCATGATATGGAACTTCACGTTTGTCGACGTCACGGTGGTAGTTCTGGTTCTCAGCTAGAACGAGTCACCGTCGATGCCCCTGAGGTTGTGGATTGTGGGATACTCTCTTCAATGCATTCTTTCTATGGTTTGCGTGTTTGTGGGGTTCCGGAACTGCCGTTGCTAGCAGTCTGCAGCGGGTGTGGTGGCAGTGGAAGGGGTTTCGAGCAGTTACGTTTCGTTGGCTCATCTGAGTGATGGCAGCACCAGGTAAGGGGTGGTTTAGAGGCTGTGCTGGTGTCATCATTGAATGAGGGGTAGTTTGGTACTTTTACCCTGTCATGTATGTAAGTTATGCCTCTAAAGTAGTGTTTGTCGTTTAGTGGCTAAATTAGCCAATTTTGGATTGTAGTAGCTATTTTAGCCCCAAACTGTGTTGCCAAACGGACCCTAAGCTCAAAAACAAGTTGAATTCTTTGAACAAAACTAAGATATGAACATGCATGTGAGAATTTTTGTAAAAACAACCTCAAAATCTCATGATATGCACATGCATGTTTGATTTGAGCTACAATTCTTTAATCTTAGCTCATTCTCATTTTACTCCACCTCCTTTACTTGAATTCTTACAAAAACTAACTCAATTACACAAGTAAGGGTTAGATTTCTTACCTTAGATGCTCAACTATGGTCTCTCTAGAGTTATTTGGTTGAAATTCGTAGCCAAATCTTCAAATTCTCAATCAACTCCTATGTTGAAGCCACTCTTCGCTTAGTCTCTCTCTCTCTCTACACGTTTGGACTCAATCAAGAGGAAATGAGAGTGCAAAAAGTGTATATGAGGTGGCCTTATATAGGCTTGGCTAATAGCCTAATTACTTTATTGATTAATTAATCAATGGCATTAATTTATTCTAATTTAATCGGTCCGATTCGAATTTCAATTAAACCTATCACAAAATTCTATAAATCTCAAATAACACATAAATCAAGTCAATTTCTGAATCGGATGCCGGTAAGGCTTTCAATTCGCAAACCGAAACTGAAACATGAACATATCTTCCTACGAGAGACAGATAAAAGTACAAATAATGCATCACACATGCAATTAATTCAGGATTTGATCTCAATAACTTATTAGACATATTAAATCATGGATTAACGTTAATCATGGGTCGGGGTTGTTACACTCGATATAAAGAATATCGAAAAAGTTAACAAGTTTAAGAGCTCGACTTACAACAAGAACTGAAGTTCTTGCTGATATAGCAACCGGGCACATCAACAGTCTCATAATTGTCGGACACCCAGAAGAAGTCGTCATCGTGCATATCTTTGTCCGGTTTTCTGGTCACCAAGTTTTCTGGTCACCAAACTTTCTCAGCCCGGCCTTATTTTTAGGTAATAATTGTACCCATCCGCCGTGCGTCCGAACGTGTATTGACGCAAGATCTTGGCCAGGCCCAGATTTAAACCAAGCTAGTGGTTTAACTTGACCATGCCGTTTATGATTCTATAAGTGTTGGTGGGTACTTGTGTTGGACCTAGCCCGGTACATCTTAGGAACTTACAGATCAAGGGCTGCACAAGGAAGCGCAATCCCCC